CAAAATACGTTTGTAATGACGTTATAAATACATTTATGTGTGTGTGTGTGTGTGTGTGTGTGTATATATGTATATATATATATATATATATATATAATATTTTTACATGATTAAGTCATTTCATTAATTACAATTTGAGGGACTTGCCTGACAGCCCAGGCAGAAAGTCCCAAGCCCTATATTTTACCCTGTAACGTTTCAAGACACCATAAAATCTGTACATGGGGGGTACTGTTTTACTCGAGAGACTTCACTGAACACAAATATTAGTGACACTTTCACTGATGATATAATTGTTGTAATGTTTGGAAACACTAATATTTGTGTTCAGCGAAGTCTCTTGAGTATAACAGTACCCACCATGTACAGGTCTTATTGTGTTTTCAAAAGTTACAGAGTGTAATATAAGACTTGCATTTCCATTTTTTCACATTAAAATTCGCTGTATTGGTAATGTTGCCTTTGAAGCTGTATGGTACCCCCAGAATGAGAAGGTCTCACCAGTGTTCTGTACAATGGCATGAGCACTTCCATCTTTCTACTGCTAATATCTCTACCTAATAATTCTGCTAGCATTTCCTGCTGCTCTAATACATTGTATGCCTACCTTTAAGTCATCAGAAATAATCACCCCTAAATCAGTTTCCTCAGATGTTGAAGTTAGGACTCTTTTCAAATATATTTTATTAAAAATTTAAAATTTTATATTAATATATGCACTACGTTATAATTATTACAAAGGATATTTAGTTGTGTATACATTTAAATAGATAAAATATTCTAAAATACAATCAGAATAATACAATTACATCATTATATTATTATTTTGTTTATAGCTAACAATAAACCTGTTATGGAGGGATTAAGAAAATGTCTTTATGAAACAGTAGTAAAGGGGGGAAAGAAGACCAGTAGATGAAGGGGGTGAAGGGAGAATTGGAACCCCTTTATTGGTGTAGTGATGTTAATATATTTTTGTATAATTATAAAAATATACCTACAATATACTTCATAGGTACCAAATATTCTATTCTCTGCACTTGGGTTTTTACGTCCAAGATGCATTATCTTGCACTTATCCACATTAAATGTCAGTTGCCACAGCTCTGACCATTTTTCTAGTTTGTCTAAATCATTTGCCATTTGGTTTATCACTCCTGGAACATCAACCCTGTTGCAAATTTTTGAATTATCGGCAAAAATACATATCTTACCTTTAAGATCTTCTGCAATATCTCTAATAAAAAACATTAAAGATAATGGGTCCAAGTACAGATCCCTGACGTACCCCGCTGGTGACAGACCTTCAAATAGCCTCCATTGACTACAACCCTCTGTTGACTGTCACTCAGCCACTGCCTTACCCATTCGACAATTTTGAAATCCAAACTTAAAGATTGCAGTTTATTGATAAGCCTTCTATGTGCAACAGTGTCAAAAGCCTTATGGAAATCTAGGTAAGCAATGTCTACTGCACACCCTGATCTACTATTTTAGTTACAAAATTAAATAAAATCAATAAGATTAGTTTGTCATGATCTCCCTGAAGCAGGGCCGCCATCAGGGCATGACAACCATAACGGTTGTCATGGGCCCAGCAGTCCTGGGGGGCCCGGACTGCTCAGGTCGTCCGGGCCCCACATTCAGTGGGTACATACCGGGTCGCAGGGGGCCCTGCGACCCCGGTATGTACCCACAGGGTCAGCCTCTTCTCCTGGGGGGCCCAGCAGCCGGTCACCTCAGGGCCCCCCAGAGGCTGGCCCTGCTGACACCCGGCGGGCGCGCGCGCGAGGGAGCACTCTCCCTGGCTGAGTGCTTCCTCTTCAGCTCCCTCGCACACCGCACTGATGCCGGAGCCGGAAGATGACGTCATCTTCTGGCGCCGGCATCAGAACTGAAGAAGAAGCACTCAGCCAGGGAGAGTGCCCGCCAGCAGGTCGGGTGCCCAGGGGAGAGTAGCTGAAATTGATGGTGGAGTGGGGAGGGAAGAAACTTTGTATGGAGTGAGGTGAGAGGCAGCCGGAAATTCTAAGGGGGCTTGGAGGGAAGGAAATTTTGAGGGAGGGGGGAGGAAAGAAATTTAAGGGGGGGGAGAGGAAGTAAATTTGAGGGAGGGAGGGGGGAAGAGGAAGGAAATTTGAGGGGGGTAGGAAGGAAATTTGAGGAAGAGAGTGTCAGGATCGTGACAGGGATCCAATACGCAGAGTGCGGACAGGAGGAGGTACGTATACCGGACCTTAGAATGGCCGGACTAACGTAAAGACAAGACAAGAATGGTCAAAAGGTAAGCCGAGGTCGAGGGAGCCGGAGGACAGGTAAGCGAGGAACAAGCCGGGTCTAGGGAGAGGAGAGAGAAGCAGGACAAAAGTACAAGCCAGGTCAAAACCGAAAAAAACACAAAGAGAGAAATGCGCTGAGTGACTAGCATGCTAGAACCACGACAGGGCAATGAGCAGTAGTAAAAGCTTCCCTTAAATACCCTGTCACCTTAATTATGACCACGCCCCCAAAAGGTCCGGAATTGCGGTTCCCAGCGGTTCACGTTGATGATGACGTCATGACGTCGACGATTGGCCGTCGCGTCATAAAAGGGGGAGGAGCTAGCGCGGCCGGCGCGAAAACGGCCGAAAATGCCGAAATGCTTGGGCATAGGAGCCCCTTTGGAAGAGAGACTGACCTCCTCAGAGGTTGAAATTACAGGTAACATGACAGAGAGGGGGGAGAAGAAGGAAATTTGGGGGAGGGGGAGAGGAAGCAAGTTTGAGGGAGAGGGGCAGAGGAAGGAAATTTGAGGAGGGGGAGAGTGGCTGAAACTGAGGTGGGGAGTGGGAAGCTGGAAACTCTTGAGGGGGAGAGCAGCCGGTCTGAGGTAGGAAGCTGGGGAAAACTGAGGGAGGGGGAGAGGAAGGAAATTTGAGGGGGAGAGGTGAAAATTTGAGGGGGAGAAGAAGGGAAGCTTGAGAGGGGATGGGGAGAAGCAGGCTGGGGAGAAGAAGCTGGTGCTGGAGTGACCTGAGGGGGGGGAGAAGAAGGGGGAGGAAGAAATGAAATTGGAGGGGGAGAAGAAGGAAATTGAAGGGAGAGAAGAAGGAACTGATGGGGAGAAGAAGGAAGCTGGAGTGGCGGGGAGAAGAAGGAAGCTGGAGTGGAGGGGGGAGAAGCAGCTGAAGCTGGAGAGGAGGGGGGGAGAAGAAGGAAAGTTGGAGGAGGGAGAAGAAGGAAGTTGAGAGGAGGGGAGAAGAAGGAAGTTGGAGGGAGGGGAGAAGCATGAAAATTGAGGGTGGGGGGAGGAAGAAGGAAATTGGAGGGGGGGAGAAGAAGGAAATTGGAGAGGGAGAGGGAGAAGAAAGACATTGGAGAAGGGGGAGAAGAAGGAGAGGAGGGGGAGAATAAGGAAATTGGAGAGAGGGGAGAATAAGGAAATTGGAGAGAAGATGGGAGGGGGAGAAGAAGGAAATTGGAGGGGGAGAAGGAAATTGGAGGGGGGAGAAGGAAATTGACGGGGGGAGGGAGAGAAGGAAATTGATGGGGGAGAGGGGGAGAGATTGACATCCATCACACACACACACACAATGCATTACACACAGACACACGTATACAAGCAATGCATCACTTACACACAGCAACACACAATGCACCCCTTACACACACTCAATGCATCCCTTACAGACGCACACACTGCATCCCATACATACACAAACTCACCTTGCAGCCCTTACACATACAAACACAGATTCACACAATGCATTCCTTACACACATCAGGACATCCCCCCACACACACTCCACCCCCTGTGAACAAACTCATTGGTGGAACATGAAGGTGGACCCTAGGACCCAGACCTTGAGCTGTGTAAAGGGCCCTCAAAAAATGGAGCTGCTTCCCGTTCTCCCACAACATTGATTTTTGTGACCACAGTTACAAACCGCCTCCAGAGAGCCTGTTCTACACCAGACCAGTGAAGCCAGACGGCAGCTAGAGCCCATCATCATCCTCATCTGGTTGTAAGTAGGCAATCTAGTATATTATTTGTGGCACTAATCTCTAATTTTCCTCACATTAAAGGGACACTATAGTCCCCAGAACCACTGCAGCTTAATGTAGCGGTTCTGGTGTCTAGCCTGTCCCTGCAGGCCTTTTAATGTAAACACAGCAGCACTGCAGCACTGGTGTTAGTTAACATGGCAGATCATATGGGTGGGGCATTGTGATGTCACATGGGGGGGGCGGCAAACTTTTGCCTAGGGCGGCAAAAATCCTTGCACCGGCCCTGCAGACACTGCATCCCTGTGGGCGGACTCGGGGGGGGAGCGCACTTTGAGCAGTTCAGATTGCGAGCACTGGGGGGCCCAGACCTTGAGCTGTGTCAGGGGCCCCAAAATTTCTGATGGCAGCCCTGGTTTAGCATGGCTGTGCAGGTCACATGCATGGAGGCTTGACTAAGGCTATGTAAAGAAATTGATTTAACTCCTAAATGGCATAAAATTGAATAGTGATGCTGCATGGGCATGATCTAAACACCAGATCATCTTCATTGAGCTAAAGTTGTTTTGGTGACTATAGTTTCCCTTTAAGCAGAGAGTGGTGCAATATTAATTTATTTCTAGGCCAGATGATTTCCTGTGTGATCATTTGGAATTTTGGAACAATCCTGAAAATGGCATCAGTGTTCTGCAGTGACCACAGAATTCACGATTGTGAGTATCCCATACCAATTTATATTAAACTACTTATATTACACTAAAACATTATTACTGTTAGTAATAGTATTAGCAGTAGAAACAATAGCAATTGTTTGAAATGTGTAAACTTTTTAGGCTTTGCATCAATAATGCAGGAACAGATTATGAAATATCCACCTTTAAAACTATATAAATCATAGATGAAGATTCAGAAGCTCCATCTTTAATTTGGAGTAAAGATCCGGTGAATGTCTATCACCAGCAGATGATGAAATAGGCAATTGTCTTAACTGAAGATGAGATAGAACTGCAAGTAAAAAATGGGTTGAATATGGGAGTGGGATTCAACTCAAACCAGATTTAAAAAAAGATTTTCCAGGCATCAATAATTGGAATTGTTTAAATCACCATCTGCAACTTGGCTCATATAATTCTATCACTTAAATGGAAACTATAGTGCAAGGAAAACAAACTCGTTTTCCTGGCACTATAGCTTTCCCATCAGAGTGAAGCCCCCCCCCCCCCCCCCCCCCATCTCCCCTGGTGGAGAAGGGGATTAAAAAACATTTTTGGCAGCCGGCGGGGGAGGCCTAATGCGAATGTTTGCCAATGGCTGCGCTCGCATTAGGTTTTCCCCATAGGAAAGTATTATTCAATGCCCTTCAACTCCCTGCTGCTGTAAATTTTAATAAAATATGTTAATTAAATCAAAGTATAAATATATATGTGTATATATATATATATATATATATATATACACACAGTATCTCACAAAAGTGAGTGCACACCAAATATTTTATTATATCTTTTCATGTGACAACACTGAAGAAATTACACTCTGCTACAATGTAAAGTGTACAGCCTGTATAACAGTGTAAATTTGCTGTCCCCTCCAAATAACTCAACACACAGCCATTAATGTTTAAACCGTTGGCAACAAAAGTGAGTACACCCCTAGGTGGAAATGTCCAAATTGGGCCCAAAGTGTCACTATTTTGTGTGGCCACCATTATTTTCCAGCACTGCCTTAACCCTCATGGGCATTGAGTTCACTAGAGCTTCACAGGTTGCCACTGTAGTCCTCTTCCACTCCTCCATAACGACATCACGGAACTGGTGGATGTCTTGTGCTCCCCCACCTTCTGTTTGAGGATGCCCCACAGATGCTCAGTAGGGTTTAGGTTTGGATACATTCTTGGCCAGTCCATCACCTTTACCTTCAGCTTCTTTGGAAAGGCAATGGTTGTCTTGGAGGTGTGCTTGGGGTCGTTATCGTGTTGGAATACTGCCCTGTGGCCCAGTCTCTGAAGGGAGGGGATCATGCTCTGCTTCAGTATGTCACAGTACATGTTGGCATTCATGGTTCCCTCAATGAACTGTAGCTCCTCAGTTCCGGCAGCACTCATACAGGCCCAGACCATGACACTCCCACCACCATGCTTGACTGTAGGCAAGACACATTTGTCTTTGTACTCTTCACCTGGTTGCCGCTACACACATGCTTGACACCATCTGAACCAAATAAGTTTATCTTGGTCTCATCTGAACCACAGGACATGGTTCCAGTAATCCATGTCCTTAGTCTGCTTGGCTTCATAAAACTGGTTGCTGGCTTTCTTGTGCATCATTTTTAGAAGAGGCTTCCTTCTGGGATGACAGCCATGCAGACAGTGTGCAGCATATGGTTTGAGCACTCACAGGTTGACCCCCACCCCTTTGACCTCTGCAGCAATGGTGGCAAGACTTATACATCTATTTCCCAAAGACAACATCTGGATATGATGCTGAGCACGTGCACTCAACTTCTTTGGTTTACCATGGCGAAGCCTGTTCTGAGTGCAACCTGTCCTGTGAAACTGCTGTATGGTCTTGCCCACCGTGCTGCAGCTCAGTTTCAGGGTCTTGGAAGTCTTCTTATAGCCTAGGCCATCTATATGTAGAGCAACAATTCTTTTTTTCAGATCCTCAGAGAGTTCTTTGCCATGAGGTGCCATGTTGAACTTCCATTGAACAGTATGAAAGAGCGTGAGAGTGATAACACCAAATTTAACACAACTGCTCCCTATCCACACCTGAGACCTTGTAACACTAATGAGTAACATGACACCGTGGAGGGAAAATGGCTAGTTGGGCCCAATTTGGACATTTCCACTTAGGGGTGTACTCACTTTTGTTGCCAACGGTTTAGACAATAATGGCTGTGTGTTGAGTTATTTTGAGGAGACAGCAAATTTACAGTTATACAGGCTGTACACTTATTACTTTACATTGTTGCAGAGTGTCATTTTTTTCAGTGTTGTCACATGAAAATATATAATAAAATATTTACAAAAATGTGAGGGGTGTACTCACTTTTGTGAGATACTGTGTATATATATATATATATATATACATATATCATATCTATATAATAATTTTATTATAACTTTGATATTAATATATATATATATTAATTATATGCTTGCACATACACATTGACAGGCAAACACACTGACAGACTCACACACACTCACTCTGACAGGCTCACACACACTTACATTTTTGTTTTAATTGAACCCCACTCAACCTCCCTATCTTTGTGAGGTTGAGTGGGGGAAAGTACCTAAACGCGCACACACACACACACTCTGACAGGCTCACACACACTCTGACAGGCTCACATACACACTTACCCTGACAACAGGCTTGCGCGCACACACTCTGACAGGCTTGCACACACAAAGTCTGCCTGGCTCGCACATGCTGACAGGCACACACACTCTGACAAGCTCACACACACACTCATGCTGACAACGGCCTTGCACGCACACACTCTGACAGGCTTGCACACACTGACAGGCACACACACACCTACTCTCTGACAAATAGGCACACACATACTCTCTGACAAACAGGCACACACACTGACAGGCTGTAAAATCTTGTTTAGAATGATCGATGTTAAATCTTCTTAATTTCTTCTTCTCTTCAGTTGATTGATATATACGTCTTTTGTATATATAGTCTTGGGCCAAATTTGCTTGCCACATTAATATATGTCTATATTAATGAAAAGTACTAATACGCAATCTGACTTAAGGTTTCTTCAAGTTTATTCTTAGTTACGGATACATAATAAAATAACAAAGGATGTTACAGGATAATGGATTTCAACAGCAGATGGTAATTGCTGGACTCCTGAAGGGAGTGTTACATCCTTACATCTTTACATCAAGAGAGAGCCAAGAGAGCGAGAGACCTCGTGTTCAGTTACTATATAGATATGACCATAATGACGTCAGACTATAACTCTAGCCATATAAGGACAAAACCCCCAATCCACATTCCAGAGTTCTCATACAAAGAAAGCCTTGTGACTTATTGATACCATCTGTTACTTATGCCAATCCAGACATCCATATATAATCAATAGAAACATAGAATATGCAATATTCTACACAGGCAGCCACACATGCTCTGACAGGCACACACACACTCTGACAGGCATACACACACTCTGACAGGCTCACACACTCTGACAGGCTCACACACTCTCACTCTGACAGGCACACACTCACACACACTTACATTTTGGTTTAATTCAACCTCACTCTGCCTCCCTACCTTTGAGAGCTGAGTGGATGTTCTTTCTTCATGCGTGCAAGGGAGCAGTACTCTACCTGCAGCTCCTCTCTGCTCTCTCGTGCTTTCTGTAATGATGCTGGGGCCGGAGTCAGGGGCGTATTAGCCGCGAGGCAAACAAGGCATTTGCCTTGGGCGGCATTTTTCAGGGGGCGGCAAAAAACGCCGCCCCCAAATGCCCAGGGCAAATGTCTTGTTAGCCTCGCGGCTAACAGACATTCTGGGCGCTGGGCGGCAGTGGCTGCAGCGCTGGGCGGGCGGGCGGCGCCGAGGGAGCTCTTCCCCTGAGCGCTCTGCTCAGCTCCCTCGCGCGCCGCCAGCAGAGTGAGGCTGGGAGCCGGAATATGACGTCATCAACCCGGCTCCCAGCCTCACTCTGCTGGCGGCGCGCGAGGGAGCTGAGCAGAGCGCTCAGGGGAAGAGCTCCCTCGCCGGCCGCCCGCCCAGCGCTGCAGCCACTGGACCCCAGGGAGAGGAAGAACCCCCCCCAGCATTACCAAAGGTAAGGAGGCTGGGGGGGGTTAAATAAAAAAACAAAAAAAAAACACTAGTGTGTGTGTGGAAGTCTGTTAGTGTGTATGTTAGTGTGTGTATGTATGTTAGTGTGTGTATGTTGTTAGTGTTAGTGTGTGTATGTATGTTAGTGTGTGTGTGTGTGGATGTGTGTGTGGTGTGTGTGTGGATGTCTGTTAGTGTGTCTGTTAGTGTGTGTATGTGTTAGTGTTAGTGTGTGTGTGTGTTAGTGTGTGTGTGTGGTGTCTGTTAGTGTGTGTGTGTGTATGTTAGTGTTGTGTATGTTAGTGTTTGTGTCTGTTAGTGTGTATGTTAGTGTTAGTTTGTGTATGTTAGTGTGTGTGTGTGTGTGTTAGTGTGTGTCTGTTAGTGTGTGTATGTTAGTGTGTCTGTTAGTGTGTGTGTGTGTATGTTAGTGTTTGTGTCTGTTAGTGTGTATGTTAGTGTTAGTGTGTGTATGTTAGTGTGTGTATGTTAGTGTTAGTGTGTATGTTAATGTTAGTGTATGTATGTTAGTGTTAGTGTGTGTGTGTCTGTTAGTGTGGATGTCTGTTAGTGTGGATGTCTGTTAGTGTGTGTGTTTGCCTGTTAGTGTGTGTGTGTGTTTGCCTGTGAGTGTGTGTGTCTGTTAGTGAGTGTGTGAGTGTGTGTCTGTTAGTGACTGTGTGTTTCTGTTAGCTAGTGAATGCGTATCTGTCAGTGAATGTGTGTGTGTGTATTTAGAAGGCGGAGCAGGGGGGAAGGTTGGGTGGCGGTGGCGCGGGGGGGTGCCTGAGTTTTGTCCTGCCTAGGGCAGCACAAAACCAGGATACACCACTGGCCGGAGTGATGTCATATTCCAGCTCCCAGGATCATTAGACAGCGCGAGAGAGCAGAGAGGAGCTACAGGCAGACTGCTGCTCCCTCTCACGCTGCCTACAATGCTCCCGCAGGCGGCCCCCTTAGTCCTGCCTCAGCCGTCCGCCTCCATCCTCCTCAGGGTGGCCGGCTGCATGCTGCCTCCGTTGGCCACCTCCATGCTCCTCAGGGCTGCCGGCCTCCTTCTTACTGCTTCGGTCAGCCACCTCCATGCTCCCACAGGCAGCCGGCTGCAATATTCCCACTGACAGCTGCCTTCAAAGCTCCGGCGGCCACATTTACTAAATAGCTGGTAAATCTCAGTCGAGCCGTGACTTACCCTTTCAGCACACATAGCCAGACAAAAAGGGGAATTCTGCCACTCTCGAGAGCAAGCCCACACCAGCAGCCCAGCTGCAAATTGCTGTGAGTAAAGTTCCCAATGAAGTTCTGGCACGCATAGCTAGTATAATGAGAGTGCCAGAACTTCAGTGGTATCATAACCCTGTGGACTCGGCCAACCTCAGATCAGCCTCCCTCTCCAGACGCCTATGATTTTAAATTTTTTTATGGTAGAACGGCCTCCCAGCCCTCCCCGGCGGACCAGCTGATCAGAGAAGACCAGGCTTTCCTAGCACATTGACAGATGTGGCAAAATGCCGCCACTGTCAAAGTGCCGTCTGGACGAACCAGCTATGACAGATACACAGACACAAACACTGCCACACATGCAGATACATACACGCACATACACAGAAATACAGATACACACACTGGCACACACAGATACACAGACATACAGATACACACAGATATACAGACATACAGATACACAGACACTCACACTGATACACAGACATACAGATACACACACACACAGACATACAGATACAGAGACATGCAGACACACACAGATACACAGACATACCAACACACACACACACAAATACACAGACTTATAGATACACACACACAGACGCACACAGATAAACAAACATACAGATACACACAGACATAAAGATCTACAGATACACATACACAGATACAAACACTACATACAATCTTAAACCCAAAACACACAGACACATACCTTTTGGGTGGCTTTTGCTGGCTGTGCTTGTTGGGAGTTAAGGGAGAAGATCTCCTTTCCTGGTCCAGTCAGTCCCGCCCCCCTTCGCAGCCCCCCTCCTGCGCGCTTGATGTGTCACAGCTGGCAGGAAGTGTGCGCCTCGCTCTCACTTCCTCCCAGCATCCAGGGCAAGTTAGAAGGGGCCTGGTCGTGCTATTAAAGCGCTGCAGCGCATGACCGGGCCCCTCACAGCACATGTCCTTCGGGTTGCCCTGAGTGCATGGGCCACCCTATGGACCCGCTCACCATGCGGTTCCTAGCCCATGCTGGGCGGTTGCGTCACTGCCGACTTTTTTTCACGTATGCCCCTGGGGCACTGAATTGTACTGCTGGGGTATGCGTACCATGGGTTTGTATTCCCTGTCCTAAGGGACTGACTGAGGGAGGTGTGTCAAACAGAAGGAAGACCTAACCTGTTAAAAACCCTGTGAACAGCACATTCTCTCTCTTTGAATTTCCTCTTCTCACCCCCTCTATCCCCTTTCCCCACTATACACACCTTCTCTTATCTTACTCTCAGCTGATGATCAATGGAGTGGTAGCTGAATCACGTGTCTATGCCTGTTTCATTATGTTAATTTAGGTAACGTTCCATTCAATCAATGACCAGGTTTTGAGGCAACATATACTAGCCTAATTCAAATGTATATGTATTGTTTATTTAGCCTCTATTAATAAATATTATTGAATTGCCGAAAGCAAGGAGTGTGGACTCTGACTTTACACTCGGTTTTTAAGTTATTATTTTTAGTTATAAATTTTATTATTATTCCAAGTTTACTCCAACTGGCGAGTAAAGTTTACTTCATGCAGCAATGAAGTTAACTGCAAATGTGATTAATTTTGTAAATTGGTTTTAGTTCAATTAGTTGTTTTTTTAAGCAGCTAGTGAAG